GGAATAGTGAAAATTTACACTCATCACTACATTTTAAAATAAAATCAAATTATACTACTCATTTCGTCACATTTATATAGGCTAGTTCTGTTTATTACACGGATTAAAAAATCTTATTTAATGTTATTAAAAAAACATTTTTTTTTGTCAAAAATTTCTTATTTACCCTTATTTAATTATTAACAACTAGTAGTAAATTATTTTTTGAATAGTAAAGAAATAAGGCTATATTAGTAAATAAGCCAAACAAAACATTCTCAATAAAGAAACAAGACTATATAATTAGGACAAGAAAATAAGGAAAGTCAACATATATAAATGGGGTGGAAGGAGTACTGCTTTTTTTTAACCATAAATACTGCATTTTATATAGTAAAGATATAAAAAAAACACAATATTGTATATCACATCAATTTCAAGATTTGATGGCTTAAATTTATCCACCAAACAAGCACCAGAGGCATCGATTTTGTTGCCAAAATTAATCCCTAAACCCAAGCTTTTTTTTTTTTTTACACAAAATCAAGAATCCCAATGTCTGAAAGTTTAACCATTACACCACAATCCTCTCCATCTTCAGATTATTTCATATGTTCTGAATTCATATATTTTGTGAAGAATAGATATATCTAACCCCTTTGATGTCTGCGGTTTATACATGATAATAGTTTGTTGAATATGTGATCTACCAGAAGATGGGTGTGATGGCAGACATGTTCGATCCAAAAATTGCAAGAATGCACCTAGTAGCTCAACTATACAAGCACGTCTGCGAGGCCATCGAAGATTACAAGACTGACTTTGATCTTGTATCACAGAGCATTGAGAGGGATAGAAAGATGAGGAAAATCATCACTGCGTAGGGTCAATTCAGTTTAAATCCATGTGTTTTTGTTTAACGAGAAATAGCAGTCTGTAAGGTCTTCCCCACTCTAAACAATTTCACCTGAATGTAGCAGGGAATGTTTTTTTTTTTATTTTGGCATGTTCAGATGTCACATTGATCCTGTTTTGCAAATATCCTACTATGATGTTTTAGTAGTATTTTATCGTATTTTGGCGTTAGATGAAATTGTTATTATCTATATATTGTCATGTTCGAATTAATACCGATGAGACTGATTCCATAAAATTCTATATGGATTGTGTCGAGTTTTGGTGACTTTTTTTGCAGTGATGTTCACTGCAAAAGTTTATAGAAAAGAACAAAATATCACGTAAAAGTTCAAATTTATTGATTCACTCCTGAGTGCCAAGAAAGAGAGGATCTTTTGTAGAAAAACTTCATATATTTTTTTATTAAAAAAAAAAAACTAACTTTCATTTGAGGCTTATAACTCATATTTAAAGTAATAATTAAAATTTGGATAACAACAAAATTCTAAATATTGACTAACTCTACACAATGATGAAAGTGAAACTAAAAATAATTATGAAAGTAAAAAGTCAATATTAGGAATTAATCCACAATTAACAAAATTAAAATTAAAATTTATTAAGCTCCCGTTGGATGAAAAATTCAAATTGAAGTTAAACTTAACAATTAATTTTAATAAGTCAGGAATCACCTTTAGCCCAAATGTCCCTGACCATCAAAAGCATAGCATTCTGGAGCTTTTTCAGTTGGAAACAGCCAGGCCACATGATAAATATCTGGGGTTGCCATCTCTCATTGGAAGAAGGAAAGTTGAAATTTTTCAGTTCCTAAAAGATAGAGTGTGGAAGAAATTGCAAAATTGGAAGCGCAATCAGTTCTCCTATAGCGGACGGGAAGTAATCCTTAAAGCAGTGATTCAGGCTATTCCAACCTACGTTATGGGTGTATTTNATTTTTAACTGTCTTTTCTTTGTTTAATTTCTGTAGCATTATTTTATGGACTTGTGCTGATATTTTTGTAGGATTTTATTTTATATTTAGTTCTCTCCTATGAGGTGGAAGAGATTGCTAAAAAACACTTCAAATATTATAGGTTATAAAAATTAGATTTAGCCTTGAGGCATATATGCCTTTGTAACTTGAGAAGCAAGCCTCAGTACATCGAGGCATTGACTTCACAATGGTACTAAAAGCATAAGCTTTGAGGCCGAAAGCCCATGTGAGGCAGTTCTCAAGGTGTAAGTCTCAAACAACTTTTTTATACAATGCTACCAAAAGATAAATGATTCAAGGAAACTTGACTTCAAATCAAGTGAATCTCACAAGTATAAAATGTATATTAAATGAATGAAGAGACTCTGGTTAGAAGTACAACGAATAGGTATTGACTGTGAGGTGGTCCTTTCTTCTATTTAGACCTTAGATTTTCAAATTTATTAGTATGATATTTTTTCACCTACGTATTAGTATGATATTTATTAGTATGAGTTCATAGTGATTGATTATTATTATTATTATACAATCGTATCCCGGAGTCTTTACGTGATGGATCTAGCTTACGCATGCACGAGTGTGTCCTGTATCTGTTGGCAGCAAATTTTTGAGGTCAACAGAGTGTACAAAAATTGACTCTCTAAATTTAAATATGCTCCGTATAATACACATGATACTCTTTATAGATGAAGCTGCTCTATATAGATAAGTGAACAATGAGTAACTTTTTATTTAGTGATCAAGTAATAAATTAAGGTAAAATTTAGTAAGCATTGATTTATTTAGGTCGTGTTTGGCATCTCTAAAAAATCTGATTAAAATTTAAGTCAAAGTCAACAATTAATTCACATATTTCATAAGATCTACAACTTTTCAACCACGCATTTCATAAACTTTTATGAAAATCAGTTAAAATTTTGATTTTAATCAATATCAAACAAGGCTTTAATTCATGATACGTGAGTTGAGTTATCCACCAGAGAAAGAAATAAGGGTTTATTTACTTTACCAGGGCCACGCTAGGGGTGGTAAAGTCAAGGGGTCAGCTGGCCTCTTGGCACGTGGGCCCATGCGACCTTGTACGAATAATAAAATTCAAGGAATAGTGAAAATTACACTCGTCACTACATTTTAAAATAAAATCAAATTATACCTATCATTTCGTCACATTTATATAGGCTGGTTTTGTTTATTACACGGATTAAAAAATCTTATTTAATGTTATTAAAAAAAACATTGTTTTTTTGTCAAAAATTTCTTATTTACCCTTATTTAATTATTAACAACTAGTAGTAAATTATTTTTTGAAATAGTAAAGAAATAAGGCTATATTAGTAAATAAACCAAACAAAACATTCTCAATAAAGAAACAAGACTATATAATTAGGACAAGAAAATAAGGAAAGTCAACATATATAAATGGGGCGGAGGGAGTACCACTTTTTTTTAACCATAAATACTGCAGTTTATAAAGTAAAGATATAAAAAAACACAATATTGTATATCACATCAATTTCAAGATTTGATGGCTTAAATTTATGCACCAAACAAGCACCAGAGGCATCGATTTTGTTGCCAAAATTAATCCCCAAACCCAAGCTTTTTTTTTTTTTACACAAAATCAAGAATCCCAATGTCTGAAAGTTTAACCATTACACCACAATCCTCTCCATCTTCAGATTATTTCATATGTTCTGAATTCATATATTTTGTGAAGAATAGATATATCTAACCCCTTTGATGTCTGCGGTTTATACATGATAATAGTTTGTTGAATATGTGATCTACCAGAAGATGGATGTGATGGCAGACATGTTCGATCCAAAAATTGCAAGAATGCACCTAGTAGCTCAACTATACAAGCACGTCTGCGAGGCCATCGAAGATTACAAGACTGACTTTGATCTTGTATCACAGAGCATTGAGAGGGATAGAAAGATGAGGAAAATCATCACTGCGTAGGGTCAATTCAGTTTAAATCCATGTGTTTTTGTTTAACGAGAAATAGCAGTCTGTAAGGTCTTCCCCACTCTAAACAATTTCACCTGAATGTAGCAGGGAATGTTTTTTTTTTTATTTTGGCATGTTCAGATGTCACATTGATCCTGTTTTGCAAATATCCTACTATGATGTTTTAGTAGTATTTTATCGTATTTTGGCGTTAGATGAAATTGTTATTATCTATATATTGTCATGTTCGAATTAATACCGATGAGACTGATTCCATAAAATTCTATATGGATTGTGTCGAGTTTTGGTGACTTTTTTTGCAGTGATGTTCACTGCAAAAGTTTATAGAAAAGAACAAAATATCACGTAAAAGTTCAAATTTATTGATTCACTCCTGAGTGCCAAGAAAGAGAGGATCTTTTGTAGAAAAACTTCATATATTTTTTAATTAAAAAAAAAAAACTAACTTTCATTTGAGGCTTATAACTCATATTTAAAGTAATAATTAAAATTTGGATAACAACAAAATTCTAAATATTGACTAACTCTACACAATGATGAAACTAAAAATAATTATGAAAGTAAAAAGTCAATATTAGGAATTAATCCACAATTAACAAAATTAAAATTAAAATTAAAATTTATTAAGCTCCCGTTGGGTGAAAGATTAAAATTTAAGTCAAAGTTAAAGTTAACAATTAATTTTAACAACATATTTCATTGAACACAACCTTTTTAGTCATATATTTCATCAAGTTTTATTAAAATCTGTTAAAAATCTAATTTTGATATCGGGCTAAATATTAGGACTGTCAATGGATTGAGTTTTGATCTAAATCCTATGAAATTAATGGGAGATGAATTTAGGGTATCAATCCGATAACCCGATCAAAATCCGAATCCGATAATCCGTTAACTAAATGGATCAAATATGGATATAGGTCAATCTGATCCGATAACAATCCGATCCGATTTGTTATAAATAATTGAGTCGGTAAAATATTTTTATAGCATATTATTTGTCACTAAAATAAATAAAT